AAAAAAATCAAGTAATAACAAATGCTGGAGAGGTTGTCACTGTTGATGGGAGTAAAGACTGGTATAATCTCTGTGGAAATTAGTGTAGTGACTCCTCAAAAATCTAGGATTAGAGGCCCTTGTTGACCCAGCTATCCCCCTCCTGGGTATTTTTCCAGAAGAACTGAAATCATCATACCATAGCAATATATGTGGTATATTTTTCAGGTTTATAGCAACACAATTTGTCATAGCTAAATGTCAGAAGCAACCCAAATGCCCATCAACTGAGGAACAGATTAAGATGATGTGATATTTTTACACAATGAGGTATTACTCAGCTATATAGAAAGATAAACTTGAACCGAAGATAAACATTTACCTAAATTTAATAGGTAAATGGATGCAACTAGAGGCTACACTCATAAGTGAAATAAATCAGACCCACATGTGCAAATATCATACTGTCTCTCTTTTATAAGAACATGAAAGAGTAAATAAAATCTGGAAGATACAATAGATACTGTAAAAGAGAAAGAAACTTCTCAAAAGGAATGAACAATTGGAATGAGGGAAAGAAAAAAGAAAGAGGGGAAATCATATATGTATATACACAGGATAGCTAAGATCATTGCCCTACTAAGTTCTATCCATTTTTTGAAGGTAGCAGTTAGTGCTCTTTTTGTCCAATTTTACATGCTTAAAGTAAAAATAAAATAATTTATCTTAAATTTCTAATTAAAATGAAATTTAATATCAAACATTTCTTGTGGAATCTTCTAACTTGATTATAATCACCTCTATTTTATAGTCTCATCAGCAGATAATGCTGACTATCTAAAGCAACATATTTTTTGTGCAAGTTCATGGTAAATGGTTATTTTAGGCTTATATAAAAGTAAATCCTAATATGCTCCTCCTCTCATTTTTCACACTGACATATAGATCACAAACATCCATCAATTTCTAAGATTTCAGGGTATTTAAGTACAAAACTTGCTTATGAGAGCATTCTGGATATTATATCTAAATAAGAAAAACATTGAAGTGGAATATTCAGCAGATTGAAGAGAAAAAAGTGTGAATCTCATAATACAATAGATATAAAAAGAAGGTCAGAGTCAAACTTTATTCTTAATGTACCTGTGATTTGGCAATGCATGAGTGAGAAAGCAGCCAGCAATGACTTTACATTTATCATGTGCTTTTTGACCAATACAGTACACCTGGCATATATATTTTTTTCTATTATCTTGAAATCTATCAGTAGGTTAAGCTGTCAGTCTTATTTGTATGGTTGTTGAATTCTCCTCAAAATATTGTCAATATTTTATCAAACAAAGAAAATGCCATTGACTGAAAGTAAATTAAATCATCATGGGTCAATTCCTAACAAAAGAATATATATATATATTCTTTTATATATATATATAAAGCTTCTTTTGCCATACCCTTATGCAATTCCAGAGTGTTTTTATCACATTTATATAAACTCCTTAGCATTTCCTTTGAGCTATGATTTCTTCTTTAGAAAATAAATCTCTGAAAGTTTAAAAATTACTCTTTCAATAGGTATTTATCAAGCACCCACTATGGGCCATAAGGGAACATAATGCTGAATATAACAGACACAAATCTTGCCTCTACAACCAACCATGGTGACAATGGCCTGAATGGGGACCTCCAGAGAGCCATGAGGGTCATGGACATTCACCTTCCCCACAAGGTACTCTCTGCTGAGTAATGCTTAGGAGATTTAACTGAGTCATAGTAACACAAAGTCAATGTATTTCTAGAGAAACCCAAATTTCCACTTTACACTTGGAGTTTCCTATTATCTTGACATCTACCAGTAGGTTAAGCCGTCAGTCTTACTTATATGGTGGCTGAATTCTCCTCAAGCAAATGTCAATATTTTAGCAAATAAAGAAAATGACATTGACTGAAACTAAATTAAATCATCATGTATCAATGCCTAGCAAAAGAGGCATTCTATTTCTAACAGGAACTATAACTCCCATGCCAAGTTTCTGGGGGGTGTGCCTAAAGGACAAATATGATGGAGCATGTTTATAAGCATGCACAAATGGTGTCCTAAAGCAGTTCATGCCTGTCTTCTATTGGCCTCATGAGCAGGTACTACTGAGCAGAAGAGACAAATCACGAAATCATATTTCTAACAAAAACTCCACTCTCTACTTTCTTTTGTTTCTTGTTTCACCTTTTCTGTAGCACATCCTCAGCCAGTCACTCATACTTTCCAAAGAGAAAGCTTAACTCTAAGAAAGCAAATCTAAGAATTAGCAAAGGATAGCAAGGTTAGCAAGAGCCAAGCCACCAAAATTCATGCCTTCACCTGCCCCTGCCTCCATCTTCTGGTGAATCCTTTGTGTTAGGGATGAGTTGCTCTTTGGGCTGAGCTCAGGGGAAACTGCACTTTTCATTAATTCCACCTGCAGAAAGCAGCAGGGAGACCAGATCCTTGGTTTAATAATATACCTTAATTATTTTTCAGTAAAAAATCAAATGGCACAGGTTACTTAGCTCTCACAGACCTATACCCACATCCAGATATGTAGCCTATAAACAAGGGGAGGAAAGGAAAAAAAGAAGTTCAACTACTTTAGTCACCACTAGGATTTACATTCCCCCTGACCATTGTCCTGCAAGGTCCTAATGAATGTGTTTTATAGCACTTCTTTAAATTTTCAGGTTCTCTTTTTTAATGTACTATCTGTTCCTCTCTGACCAGTACATTTTCTTTAATCAAACATTTTATTTTATTTCCAAAATTTAAATAAATTAAATTTAAGAGAAGAACTTTGTTGACCTTCAAGTCAAGCATTCTGGATGGAAATGTTTTTGATGACACCAGAAACAATAAAATAGAATAAAATTGTACCTATTTGGTCATATTCCTCCTACCAAAGTGAGCTTCAGCTTATCCATATTACTACCTAAATGTTTCAAAATGATTAAAAACATACACTTTTGTTGCAGTGAGCAGGTGTCTTAGTTCCTTTGGGGTACTTTTTATTACAATAATTATGAGAGTAGAAATTATCAAGTATCCAACAGCAAACTGGTTAAATTATAGTACATTAATATGAGAGACTATTGCTCTGCTGTTAAAATAATCTTTTTTCATAATTTTATTGATAAATAGCAATGAGACAGTTTCAAATCAAATTGGTAGGACAGTTTCAATAATTAATACATTGCATACATTCCTCCTGGTGATTAATTGCTGTACAAGATGTGGACATGATATCCTATCTACAAACACCATTAGAACAAATCACTCTATTCATTAAGAGAATGTAACTATATATCTATCCTAACTACTTTGAATACACAGATACA